CTTCGGTCTTGTATCCAGCGGCTCTCGCGAACTGAGCAGGGACCCAGAAGGGCACCCCCCTCCCCCCCAAGCAGAGGAAGCGGCAGCAGCAGCCGCCGCCTGGCTGGCCCTGATCCAGAAGCCCCGATCCAAACACCTGGCCCCGAGGCCGGCCGGCTCCTCTCACATGAAGAACCGGGGCCAGGGGCCGCCCGGTCCCCCCTTGGCCTCGGCCCTTGCCTGGGTGGGGTCCAGCAGCAGCTCCAGCACCGGTTGGTCTGCAGGGAAGAGTCGCAGCTCCTCAATGATGCGGACTCCTCGCCTGGTGATCACCGCCTTATGCAGGCGGCCGTCATCTACAAGACCCAAGAGATGCCCAGTGAGGGTCCCATGGGCTGCCTCCAGGCCCCCCTTCCTCCCTCCCCACCAGGAGGCCCGGCCCGCCCTCCGAGCTCCGAGGAGGTGGGAAAGGCCCCCATTCAGGCTTGGCTCCAGCGTCAGCCCCTCGGCCGTCTTCCTTGGCTGCCCTGAGCCGCTGTGGCTTCAGGTTCCGCATCCGCCAACTCACCCGCTGCCCACAAAGCCCCCTCTCTGCTGACGCGGCCAGCCTGAAGCGGTGGCCATGCCAAGGCGGCGGCGGCGGCGGCAACAGAACAAGTGGGCCCACCTGTGCCCAGGAACAAGACGTCGTAGGTCTGCTGCAGACTCTGGACACGCTGCACACTGAGCTGCCGGTACCGGGAGCGGGGCTGCACCAGGAGGGCCTGGCTCCGCACGGCCCCGTTCATGAGGAAGTGGTCCTTGAGGTAGTTCAGGACCCGGTCCGGCATCTGCAGCGAAGAGCTGATCTTCATCTGGCGGGTCTTGCGGTTGATGCACTGGGGAGAGCAGGAGGAGCACACTGGGGAGGCCTGGCTTGGGGGGCCTCCAGCACAGCCCTCCCCGCCCCAACTGCTCCGGGGAGAAGAGCAAGAGGTTCTGGAGTTCCTCCTGGGCCCCCTGCTCTGCGGGGCTGTTCCAACCCAGCGTCCCAACGGGGACTTTCGGGGGGGGGAGGTTCGCTTCCTGTCTCTCAGAAGGGGGGGGGGGGGGGGGGAAGGCTAGAATTTGGGGACTGCTAAGTTTGGAAGTTTATCCCCCAAAAGCAAAAGGTAGGAGCAGCCCAGGAATGGACAAAGTTTGTAGTTCAACTCTTGTTTTTAAAAGATGCTTCTTAAGAGGTCTAGATGCTCGCAGAATTATTCTGCCAATCCCTGCAGGTGAAGACAAGCATCCGCACACCTGTGGCAAAAAAGCAGAGCCGCCCCAGCCGCTGGGAATTCCAGAGGGGGCTCACTTGCCCTTGAGAGCTGCCAGGGCGCCTGGCTGGCTTCCTGGAATGGGATGGCGGGGAGTAAAGTCCACCGCACCAGGAACCTGAACGGTGGGTGAAGGGAAGCTGCAGTTTCCTTGGCATTTCACGTGGCCCCGGGCCCCCTCCTGGAAGTTGCTTAGACCACGCTTGGAGTTTGGCCTAGACAATGAGCACCCCGAAATCAGAATCTCAGAACAACAGAGTTGGAAGGGACCTTGGAGGTCTTCTAGTCCAGCCCCCTGCTCAAATAGGAACCTCTATGCCATTCCAGACCTGTGGCTGGCCAAATCTCCTCCAAAGCTCCAGGGGCAGAGTGTCCACCCCTTCTGAAGGCAACGGCTCCACTGGTTAATGGAGAGAACGGTCAGAAATGTTCTCCTTAGATCTAGCTTAGATCAGAGATCCTTAGATCTCTCACGGATGTTTGGACTCAATAATGGAAGCGTATTTATAAGATTTTACTTATTCTGAAGTCTATCGCTTTGGCTTTTATGATCTCAAACAATCAAGTAGATTTGAGAATACGTAAAATCTTGTCCTGGAATCAAATGTTTGTTCATTCAAGCTGGCAGTCAAAGATTTCAATTCACTTTATGGTGCAGCTGTTAAGCACAACTGTCACATGACGGTGACTTGAAACTTCCTGCCGGTTTCCCTGCTGACTTTTGCTTGTGCGAAGCTGTCTGTGAAGGTGACAAATTGTGTAATGTAGTGACATGTGTGTGAAAGACCTTCAGAGACCGGAGAGGAGGCTCCCTAGGGAAGAGTCCCCTAAAAGAGGGGAGGGGGAGGCTCAGAGGAGACCCTCCCCAGATGTTTGCACTATAAAGGAGATGGCAGAGGAACCATCATTTCAGCTTTTCCAGACAGACAGGAAACACAGCCCGAGAAGCTAACTCGACTTAACTGTAGAGCTACACTACAGAATCCTGCAAGTCCCTCTGTCTCCCACACACCATTTTGTGTGACCTGGGACACCGCGGACCACTTAGCATCAGCTGCCAAGTGCCTGAAGAGCAACCACTTGTTGCTGCAACAGCCACAACTTCAAGGACCAGTCGTAAATTTTCTTTTACGGTGGTGTTGCCGGTGGTGTTGCCGTAACTTCCAGTGTTCACTGAAAAAGCAACTGGGAAGCACCAACTGGTGACTTGCCTGTCCACCTC